TTAAGTATAATGTATAAAACTTGTATGTAAATAAATTTTTCTTATATATATAGGAAAAAAAAAAGACATTCTGATATTTTTTTTGTTTAATAGTAACCACATAATGCATTTGATAAAATTATCAAAGTTGTTTAAAACCAGTCAGTGAGTGACATGTAAATCTAACTCTCTGTCCTACTAGCTTAAGCTTTGGGTTTGAGGTTTAAGCCCAACACGGACGTATCGTGCGTTCCTTGTGAGCTACCACTGGCCTAGTTTTCCCACAAGATCTATGTAGGGGGTGTGCCTGTGTGGCCTAACTAGTTAATGCATCCTACATCAGATAAAAAGAGAGAACTTGTGGATTGCAAAAGCAACCAATATTTAGGCCTACAATTTCTGGCCCGGTCCACATGAAGAACCAAAAGGATTTGTCGGTTCGCTTCTCTTCCCGCTTAAGTATTCTTTACCAGTAATGACATGTGGAATCAAAATTTAGTACTAATAATGTAATATAAATTATATCATTTAAAGTATTAAAAATAAATATTATATTATTTAATAATTAATTATTTTTATTTTTTAAAATCCATAATATTATATGTCAACTCATTTAATGACAAATTTAAACTTTGATATCAAATTTTTACCCTTCTGTCATTACTTATTCTTTACCCATTTCAAACTCAAACTAGGTAAGTTTATCGAGATTTTACGTATATAAAGGCATCATTTTTTTAAAATTTTTTTAATTAAAAATATCACTTTTTTATTTTATTAATTAAGGTTATTATTTTTAAAAAAATTTTAAGCAAGGATATCACCTTTTCAATTTTACTATTCAATGATTAATTGAGTGTCAATACTGACTTAGCAAACAGATTCCATTTGTTGGATTCACTAAATTGCTGATGTGTCAAAAATTGATAGATGACTGTTTTGACTTGGAGCTGATTTGGACAACATGCATAAGTATCAACATTGAAAAGGGTGGTGTCAGCACTCAACCCGTGTCGGAAAATCCTTTTTCCTTTTATTTCATTTTAACAAAAAAATTATAAAATTAAAGAAAAATCATAAACTGATCATGGATATATAGATTAGTTAAACACAATAAGGTATGTTATATAGATTTATTAAATATAATAATTTTTTAAAAAATTATGCCTACTGCTTTGAGATTTTGTGTTAAGTAGCAAAAAAATATATTATAATGCATAATCAAATATTTTAGAAATAGAAAGATTTAATTTGTGACTAACACACTATAAACCCTAGATAAAAATTGTGCTTTTAGTAATGGACAAAAATTCTTATTAAAAATTGTGATTCAAATTTATGGCAGGATGTAATAGCAAACAAAATGCAAAGGGGTTTTGAGATGGATTATAAAGATTAAGTATCTATTGTACTTAAATTAATAATAATATTATTATTTACAAAAAAAAAAAAAAATTTTACCTCGATATTATGAAAATAACAAACAAAAAAATCTCTAGTGATAAATTATTTTTTAAAATTGTGTAGTTCTCTCAATCAATCATGAAAAATAGAGTAAGAATTTGAATTCTCTATAATTTTTTAATGTTTAGATTGATGTGAAAATATTATTATTTTAACTTTTAGAAAGCTATTTTAGAGGGCTTTTGTACGCTTATCCAATTTTTTTAGGATTTGTTTACTAATTTATTTTACCTTAATTTTAATTAATTTTTTCTAAAATGTTCAGTGCCGACACTATATGTTTGAGTGTCGGCACTATTCATTCAGACTTCTATTCTATCCAAATCAGCTCCAAGCCAGGGCAGGCGCCTATCATTTTTTTTACACATCAGCAATTTAGTGGCTCCTACGGATGAAATCCATTTGCCAAGTCAACATTGACATTCAATTAATCCTTAAATAGTAAAATTAAAAAAGTGAGATCCTTGATTAAATACTTTTGAAATGTGATGATCTTGATTAGTTCAACAAATAAGTAATATCTTTAATTGAAAAAATTTTAAAAAGTGATGTTTTTGTATGTGTAAAATCTCCAAGTTTATCAATTTAAAAATAAATAAAGACAAAGTTTATAAAAATTGATATTAAATTTAAAAAATGCTTAACCTTTCTTGTATCTCGTAGACATATTTGTTAAACTTTGAATTTTACAATATAAGATAATATGTTTTGAATGTTGTTATCTATTTTACTCATTAGTTTTGAAAAGTATACCGCAAACAAATAAACAGTTACAAATATTCAATTAAGGTTTTTAAAAAATTGCTAATAAATCTTGCCTGGGCCCAGAATCATGCTTAAGGCGTAGGTGTTTAGCAAACGTCAACTAATTTTATCATCGTTTTATTACTTCTCACAAAAAAAAAAAAAATCATTTTTTTAATCATGCTTATGGCTACGGGGTATAATATAATACTTTGCTCAATATTTTTATTCTACAAAACATAACTCTACTTAAGAT